TAGGCTAAAAACGGGCTTTGGGTGGCAGTTTCATTATTTCCTTTACAGTCAAACCGCAATCGAGTCTATAGGAAGAAAAGTCTTCCCGGGAACGACCAGGTTCCGATTGTTGCGGGGTAAGGAAAATAAATTAAACCATGGTCAAAATTAACAGAGGTATTCAAAAAAGTGTTCCCGTTCCAGGTTAGCGGAGATCTTCGAGAAGGGAAACGAAGTTAAGATAAGATAAGCAGCATCCATCAGGGATTGATTCCTGCAGTGCTCAAATGAGAAAAACGTAGCACTACTTAATGCCTCGATTGGTTAACGAATTTAGTCGACAAAGCTACTTTCAAAATGTTAACCGATATCTGGATCTGGTATATTGCATAAATAATATGGATGGCTTTTTTATTAGTTTAATACGTTTAATAACATTTAAAATTAAAAATGTACTTTTTACCCATGTGCAGAAACATTCTAAATGCCCATAATTTTAAAGAATTTGTCGAACTCTTATTTTAGTCGGTTTTACTTTATTAATGAGCTAAGCCACTTTCCCTTTGAAATGGGTAAAATCTTACTAATTAATGGGTTCTTTCAAGTTAGCGTGCGAACACCATCAGATACAGCAAGAGCTCTTTTATGTTTGCTTTTGCAATTCCGCTGTTCATTTTCTTTGTAAGCTGGGTTTAGACTAGGCAACTCAGTTGAATTAAATTGGCTTGAAAAGTTGAGCCTGGTTCAATTTTTTTTTCAATTCAAGTGAGTTGATCAAGTCAGTTGAATGACATGGTTTACACGTTCAATTCGCGTTCAAGTCAGTTGATTTGACTTGCCCTGTCTAAACCCAGCTTTATGCTATTTCGAGACCAACAATTGAAAAGTCCTCAACTCCATTTTGTAAACAAACCTTGTGCGGCCATTTTCTCGCGAATCGAAGTCCGCCAAGGAAAACCAACAGAATGAACAGGTAGGAGAAATTCTCCTCTACCTGATTGTGGTTTAGGTTTGCGAATGTAGGTTTCGGTTCGCAAGAAAATGGCCTTACAAGGTTTGTTTACAAAATGGAGTTGAGGCCATTTCAATTGTTGGTCTTGATTTCACTAGCGCTAATGAGCCAGCTGCTAGCAAAAAAGCACCCCAGCATAATGTAAACAGAGCATCAGCGGCTACCAACATGAGATTTCAGGAGCAACTGAAATTCGTGCTAGTTGGCTAGTACACTAGCGCTGACCAATCCGCACAGATGTAAACACCTCAAAAGCGGGAGCAAGTGAGGAAGCGTAAAAACACACTATGCATTCCCCAGTGGAGAAATAGTGCCATTTTACTGACTTATGGTTGAGTACATAAGCGAACCTATTGTTTGCTAGAAGAACAAAAAGATGACTGAACAACGCTCTGTTTTACTTGTCATCAAAGAAGAGAGAGAACCTGCCGGTTAAGCCCCATTTTTTCACGTCTTCATCTGTACAAATCTGTACAAATCTTTTTCATCTGTAAATTCTCAACAACCTGTTAAAAGTATCTATATTTTTTTTTTCCAAAATTCGGTATATACAGGTTTTTGTGTCGAAAAAATAAATCTGCAGATGTGACATCACTGGCAACTGGAAGAGTGCACTCAGCCTTCTCTTGTTTTACCTTTACTCTCTCAAACTACGAATCTACGGTGTCTCAATGTGTACGGGAGGGCACAAGCTGCGTTTCTCTTGGTGTATGCTCGTTAAATGAAATCTTAGTGCACAACGTGAGAGGGAATACCATGTCTGCATTTTCAGTAGCAACAAACAATCAGTTTTCTAACCAGTCTATTATAGCTGAAAACCACTTCATCACTTCCAATCTGTGTGTGTTTTGATTGCTGTAATCTTCAGTAATTGAACGATTAATTAAACAGCTCTCTTCCTTCGGGAGGGCTTCGAATTCAATTGCTCATTTCCCCATCCATCACGATGATGAAACAGAATGCCCGCTCTACATCTGTGCCAGGCAACGTGTTCCTATTTGTCCGTTTTCCTGGATTTGCAATCCTTTCCGCAAGGAATTTTTAATTGCCGTCTGTGGTTCCACAGCTCATGTAGGATACTAAACGCGACTGCCACAACGTCGAGTAGTTCCCTGATTCGTGTCGATTTCACTTAACGTAATTACCGGGAACAAGTGGATTGATCTGATTGGTGGTCACCTATCCGTCCCCATGCTTCTGGTAGGTGCAATATTGATTAAACCTCGGCTTTTAGAAAATTCGAAGGCAGCAATCATAAAAAAGTGCACTTGCTTTACATATAATCAAGCTTAGTCTGTGTAGTTAAATCCGGAAGAGAGACACCCCGAGCGTTGGTAGGTTGAATTTCATTACAGAGGAAAAGCCGTATATGTGATGACATTTGCGAAGAAAAGCCATTAATCATTTCTCCGAGGTTCTACACATACTTTGCGTGGGTCGTTGAGAACCCCTTTGTGCAGTACATAATGTGCTGCAATATGAACCAGAGAGCAGGATGGCGAAGCACGAGAAATGGAACTCAGTAACGTTGGTTCCAGCCGTCATTGTAAATAGCAATTTAAAGGCACATTTCATTCCGGGCGGAAGTGTGTGACCTTGGAAAAGAGTGAGAATGTGTGAAGAAAATTGCACCGCACACCGACCACAAATCACTTTCGTGTCACATTGCGAGTCTAGCAGCTCTAGCTAGCGTCTGACGCCCACCCATATCAAGGAGAAACGACACCTATACTCTGTACTGGAGCTAAGGCTTCCCTCCTCGTTGACACAATAGGGTAGATTTTCCTGCACCCTGTTGAAGGTAGACGGGAAATTCTCATTTACCTACACATCAGATTAAATATAAATCTCGTTCTTCGTTGAACAGTTCAAAATTAAACGATTTCCTTCCTTGAATTTTTTTTTTTCAATAACGTAGCTCAGAAAAGTTATTCCGAATACCTGCTTTGGCACGCGTTTGACTTTTATCTGTATAAAGTTCATCCCCGTTCAGTAACAGGCGCCAGAATTGTTTTCGTCTTAAAAAAAAAAACTATTTGACAAGTCGATTAACTTGTCACACAAGTTTCCTCGGTCTCGAGAGAAAACAATCGCCGGAGGATGCACATATAATAAAGACGCGGACGCGTACGAGAGAAAATAAGTTGAAACACAGTCTCCCCCATTCGAGATTTGATCTATCTTAGAATTTTATCTGGAAAGTAATGTTGAGAAAACGAAAACGATTCTACCAACCGAAAAAGAAAAGAAAAGAAAAAATAAAACAATCCATTGGAAAACCGAAGAGATGATACAGTACGTGAATTCGTAACGAAAGTGGAGTACGAAACGAAACAAAACAAGGAAATGAGAAGATAAAAATGGCAGGGGCTAGAATCGAAGGAAAACGAAAGAACTTGCACAGAACGTATAATAGACTAGAGTAGAGAGGCAACAACACTAACAGCAACTAACACACACATTCACATACGCATACACTACTGATCCGGGGGACGGCTAGGAAGCGAGACAAGCGTGGCTCAAAAATGCAGCGAACAAAACTACGGGTAGCACGTGCAAAAAGAGTATACAACTAACAGGACACTATTTCAGTCAAGATAATGGGTGGGGTGGAGGGTGGGTATGGAAGCGAAGACTGGGAAGCGGACTGCGGCTCATCGCTTGCCTGATGATCCGCTTTTGTTCGGTTGGCAGCACTGTATCGGCGGCTTTCTGTGTGACGTGGAAGCGATACTTTCTCTAATGGACAACCAATTCGAGTACGCTAGGACTATTTAATAATTTTCTGTGATTCATCTAGAAAAGCATGCATAAGACTATGTATAAAGACGATGTGAGATATTACTTCGTATAAAAACACCAAATTACCCACATTTAATGTTCATCATTTTTAAAGGGAATTGAGAGGGGAGATAATTTACAGAGTTTGAATCGCGAAAATTTTGACTCTCGTCGATTAATGTGAGTGTGTGTCTACACTACAGCGTTTGTCGTTCGTTGGATTTGATTATTTTTCTCTAGGTCTTGATTTATATACAACACTATTTATTTCGGTACCAAAGGTGGTAGAATTTGGAAACAACGAAGGGATGAGGATTCGAAAACTGAAAACGCAGGTGGGGGAAGGCGGGGGTGGTAAGAAACCTAGAGATTGTTGGTTCACTCGAACGATTGTGTCTCATCGTGTGTAGCTGAACCGAAAATTGGATTGCATTCGGAACAAAATGGTTTTTGTTTTTTTTTTGGAAGGAAATAAATTCAAAAATGTGCGTGGCGAGGCGTATCAGATTTTTTTTTACTTGGAGCTGGAGAAATAAGAGTTAGTTTGGTTTGCTTGTTTTGGTTCGGCTTAGGCTGTACAGTAGCAAGGTTTTGGGGCGAGAATTGTTCTGGAAGGGGGGTTTTGTGGTTTAGGAAGGGGGGGTTAGGTGGGTGATTGTTTAAATTAGACAATTTATACAGTAATAAAAACAATATTTGTACACGTGTGGGAAAGCGACTGGCGCGCGGCATCGATTAATTCATTTTTAGTTGTGAGTTTGAGTCACTTTCCCATCGAAACTGAGACGGGGTTAGGAAATTAAAGTAAACAAATAACTGAGAGATATTTGTACAGGTTTTTTTTTAAACAAAATGGCTAATAATTCAACCTAAATCCATAATTTTGTATAGTTTTGGGATGAAAACAAAAATCATGACAAAATGAAAATGATAACGGAAAAGAAGAATGGTAACTCAACTGAAGATGAACGAAACAGAAAAAAATGGTGGTATTAGGAAAGCTAGAACTGTGTTTGGGGGATCACTCCTAGCAGAAGGGGAAAGGGGGACCAGATAAGAACAGGTATGTGCTCGAAAATATAGGAGGGAAAGATATATTGGGGTCGGGGGGTTTTCTTTTATCAAGGGTCGTAGTACAGAGAGAAATAGATAGAAATTGTAGCAGAAGGTGAAAGTAAACAGTACTAATAAGAGTAGATAAAAGTAAGGATGGATCGTTTTCGCTCACCGTCAATGTTGTCCGGGTGGTCTGGATGCGAGAGGGAGCCATCGTTGTCACCGCTCTCATTCATCGGAGGCATGTTGCCCGACGATAGCATGCTGCTCATCTCCTCCGGATTGAGGTTCATTTGCATGGGCTGAAATAATGGAGGAATGCGATGATTAGGAAGGTGATTCTGCATCCATATATATTTAGGCAGGGTGTAATTTGTGAATGTACATAATTAGTAGTGTAAAAATTGTAACGTAAGTATTTCAAAGAACGGATAATATGCTGAACAAAGACCAAACAATACGTATAATAATAATGAGTTAATAATAATTAATTGGAAGTTATATTCACAAGACCTTCACATGATTTCATAGCTGATCAGGACTCTTCTCATGCATGATTCCTGTTTCTCAAGTCAAAATAAGCTTCTGATAAAATTTTCATCAATATTTATGTTTTTTGGGTTCAACACTGACTAAATAGTGATGGCAGTGTTGGGAAAATATCGAAAAATCAAATCTCACCAACGCCCAAGATCACGCTTGATTTTCGTAGACAAAAATCAACAAGCAAACAACTGCGGTTTATTTTGCAAGCTGTGATATCGCAGCTCGGAATATCAAACTAGCAAAACTCACCAGCTGCAAATCTCAACAAACTGTGGTGAGATTGAGTTTCATGATTTTTGCTTTTCACCCGAATGCAACCGAAACTTCCATAATGGCTGGCAGCAGTCAATTCGTGTCTGCCATCGGTGAAGAGTAAAAAGAGATAGCAAACTACACTTTCTCTTTGTGAGAAAACGATGTCATCATTTTTGTGTCGAATCAACTGTCAGCTTGATTTTTGCACGTTGTGAATAGTCTCGCAATATCAAAGGAGCTTGTAAAATCAATATCAAGCATGATATTTTGTTCTAATATCACGCGTGATATTGCGAGCGCATGTGAGCGGAAAAATATCAATTGGTTTCTGATTTTGCCAATACTGTATCGAAGACATCTTATCAAGAAGAATTTGGCTAGAATCTAAGGAACATACACGACCATTGAATCTGACTCACATTTAGTTCAATTTACTCGAATTCGCAAAAACCAGGGTTTCTCATATACTGAGTAAAATTAAATTCAAATTTGAGAAAATATTACTCGAATATGAGTAATATTTACGCAAATTTTAGTAAAATTCTAATTAGTCTATGAGCGACCGTGTTTTTAATGAATCAAAGTAAACAACGGAGCTCAAATTTGAGTCAGATTCAACGGCCGTGGATATAGTTGTGCTTGATTTGATTTGATTTGAAGATGAATGCCACGCATTGAAAAATCAGCAAATCTCGAGTAAATAGTCAAATCGATTGTAAATAATGATGTCAAACGTCAATTTTTTCGAAACTGATAGCCCGCCCACGTAATTTAACATCAACATCAGGTAGAAGGACATTTCTAGATAGAGCTGGAATTAGGGCCTAACAGCTTTTGTAAACAATGACTTCTATCGATGATTCTTAGAAATTCAAGGCTCACCCACGCAAGCCAACATCCTCATCAGGTGGGGAAAGACTTCCCCTATCCGATGGATATGTCGGTCTGCGTGGGCGTGCCTTGAGTACCTAGAAATCATCGATAGAAGTCATTGTTTACAAAAGCTGTTTCGCCCTAATTCCAGCTCTATCTAGATTTCACCTTCCTGATGGTGGTGCTAGTTTGCGTGGGCGAGCTATCAGTTTCAATAAATTTACGTTTGATGCCATTGTTTGCAAAAGCACTTGAGTCGATTTGACTATTTGCACCGAGAAATATTGTGCATCGGACTGAAAATCAAAGCGACAATTTTCGTTGGCAACACTGATCTGCCAATGTTGCTACACTGTACCAAAACATCATCCTCTGTTCGAATGAAACCTCAGACCATACAAATCGAAACATTGAAATCGTTTTTGGCCGGATGATAGCTGCAACCGGATGACGGTTGTTTTGCAATCAGATGATGCTCCTCTCGAATACAGGATGAACATTGATACGAGAAGCGAGCGAACCTCAGTTGAAATACGTAATGATTGGCATCTCAAATTGAAATGCATATGGTATTGGTTCAGCAAATCATCCAAAATGATGATGTAAATAATTTTATGGAACGTCATTTGCTGATCTGAGCTGACAAACGAGGTGGAAACATAGTCATCGCTATCAGCGATGGTACAAACATTGGTTGATTTCGTGGTGGAGGAAGTTTCCTCTACCAACATACGGTTTTGTATCAACGATATAATGGCTGATCATGGCTATTCATTATGGAAATGTAAACAATCGAATTATAAATCTATCTTAAAGCATCTCCAAAACATCCTATTCATACTTTGTTGTCCTCTGAGCGCTGTATGTTTTACAGCCAATTTGCAAACATATAGGGGAAATGGATGTCGGCCTAAATGCCCCTAATTTGGGCCCACACATAAATTCAGCAATCGACTAAATTTTCATTAACGACCAAAAATATCCATTAGTACCGTCCCAATGACGCGTTCATCTAGATAAAGATAAATTGATAAATAGCAGATTTTTAGCAATGGGCCCAATCTTAGATCCATAGGCCATCATAAGAGCCGGTTCCCCTATCATCCTTTATTTGGATGACAGTCATATGGATGCGGATGACGAAATCAACCATCATCCGAAATTCGTAAGCATATTATTGGGAGCTCCCTTAGCTCAGTCGGTAAAGGCGCAGCTACAAATCAAGAGGAGGTGGCTGGGTTCGATTTTTCGGGTTGGAAAATTTCTCGACTTCCCTGGGCATAAGAGTATGATTCTACTTGCCACACAACTATACTGATGCAAAAATGGTAGAGACATCGTAAGATTTCAATGTGGACAACTGTGGAAGTGCATCTAAAAAACTAAGTTCACAGCAAAAAATTCTGAATTTTAATTGTGATGTAAACATTCATACACGTAAACTTTTGTTTCACTTAACGCAAACGAGCAACTTGTATGCAATGTTGTTTACAAAGATGGACTTTTGTATACAATATGTGCAACATTTCATGAAATGTCTCTGGACTTTACATAAATCGTGTAAATTTATGTGATATACGACGCTCCATTTATGTGCATCACATTGAACAGAAATTTACACTACTTTTTCAAACCGTGTTGAGAGCACGCAATAAGCTTGAACTGCGAAGAAGAAGTAGAAGATTGTTAAAGGGCTCGAACAATGCAATAATCATTCGAAGTATTGCGGATGTTTTCGTTCAGTGTAGTTGAGTTTCTTGTCTCTTATGTCGTCGGAGAGCAGTATGAAATCCTCTCGCTGAACTTCTGCTACTCTGTTGATGTTTTCTGTTTCTAGATTAGGTGTTTTGCTTTATACATGATGATAATGAAGTTTCGTACATGTAGGAGTAACCCGTGCGTTATTATTGGTGGAAGTATTCATTTAGGATGCAAAAATGGTCATCCTGGAAAATTCTCGTCAAACAAGAATTTCTTGTCGCACGAGAAGATCACCACGACAAAATCTAGAATCCATCCAGTTGTGACTATATATTCTAGTCGAATGTCACTCATACAGTTCCCTATGACAAAGTACTATAGGTCATGTAAAAAGGAGCAGCACGACAAGAAATCATCCATTCTAATACGGAGGTTAGATTTCAAAAAAGGCCGGAAATAATGTTAATTCCTTCAAAATAGGTATTTCCGGAATCGATATTTCAAGAAGTCAGCTCGATTCTGGAAATATCCATATTGAAGGGTATTTGGCCACTTTTTCTGATATCAGCAGCCGCCATATTTGATTTCAAGATGGCGCTGGACATCATTTTCGGTCTCTAGAGATCATCCCGATTCCGAAAATATCCATATTCAAGGATATTTGGCAGTATTTCCCTCTTTTTCTGAAACCGGAAGCCGCCATCTTGGCTTTCAAAATGGCTTTGGACATTGATATTCGGCATCTACATCTCAATAAATCCATATTATTGGGTATTTGACAGTCTTTCTGAAGTCAATGGCCACCATCTTGCATTACAAAATGGCGTCAGACATAAATTATAGTACACGTTCCAAAAATACCCATATTGTAGAGTATTTGACAGTTTTTCCGAATCAGAGAGCCGCCCCACTTGGATTTCAAAAATGGTATCGGACATCGATTTTCGGCATCTACACGCGTCCTGTACCGAAAATATCCATATCGTAGGATTTGACAGCATTTCAGAAAAAAACGGCCGCCATCTTGGATTCCAAAATGGCGTCAGACATCATTTTTCGGGATGTACACGTTGAACTAGTTCCGAAAATATCCATATAATGGGGTATTTGATAGTTGTTCTGAAGTCACTGGCCACCTCTTGGATTCAAAAAATAGCGTCAGACCTTGATTTTCGGGACGTACGCGTAGTATTTGTTCCGCAAATACCCAAATTTGATAGTTTTCCTGAATCTGAGAGCCGCCATTTGGGATTACAAAATGGTGTCAGACATATAGTTTCGGGATGTACACGTCGAACCCGTTCCGAAAATACCCATATTGTAGGGTATTTGACAGTTTTTTCAGAATCTGAGAGCCAGCATGGTGGATTACAAAATGGCGTCGGACATCGATTTTCGAAATGTATGCGTCGTCCCGTTCTGAAAATTCCCATATTTTAGGGTATTTGACAGATTATCTTAAAACAATGGCCGCCATCTTGGATTCCAAAATGGCGTCGGACATCGATTTTCGGCAGCTTCCAGTTCTCTTCCAATGTTCTCTTGCGAAATCATCTCGCTTGCGATAATGAACTTTTGGCGATATTTTCAACACTGGGTACAACTATTACTTTAATAGTTCTAATTGTAAGCTATTTTTGGAGGCATCCACGTGCAACTGGCGATTCGTAATATGTCTGCTATCGAAAAATACAGACTGTTGCAGATCTTACATGAACACTTAATTTTAACCGCCATTTCGAACTGATTGGAAGTTTTCAAAGGATGCGTCCTTTTGTTTACTAATAACCAGATGTCACAGTATCGGAGAGGATAGTTCATTTCGATTGTGTGAAGAGCCGCACAAAATGCATCCGGATCTGATCCGTTGCTGAAAAGTGACAGCTAAATCTACTGTCTAGCTGTCAATGAATGGATCCGTTTGCGTTGCGTTGACGTAAATTTGTCATGGATTAACTGTCAAATGAACGCAAACGTAACGCAACCGGATCCATTGTGCGTGGCCTTTATAGGGCAATCTACATTAGAGCCAGATCTGACGCGTTGCGGCAAAGTGACAGCTAAACCTATTGCCTAAAGGGCTGAACACAATGATAGCGGCATAGCGGCAATCGCAAATTTTCCAATACACTGAAATCCGTTTGACAACCCACAATGAGCGCGTTGCGGCAAAAGCGACATTGTACTAAAACGCTTTTTTTCAACATTTTAATCTCTATAGCCGTCAATGAAGAAGTGAATTTTTACCCTCGATTAGGTTTAAAAAAAAATGTTGCATTATGTTGCCATACAATGCTAAACTTTATTACTAATAAGCAGTGGTTGCCAGTTCAATGGATTTTACATCAATTTTACTATAGTGTCTATAGTACACGTTGGACAATGTGTCGAAGAGTGGTTGGAAACTTGGCCCCATTAGCCCCGTAATTGACCCCTTAATTAAGGAAATCTAAATACCAGCGGCATCAGTTGGCTTATTTATCCTGGAACCTTTCAATCGCAATGACAGATTTCAGCACTGATTCACACTAATCCAACATACTGTGCCATTTACAGCCCTCTCCAGCTGCATATGTATTGTATTATAATTGCATATGTAGGGGAAGGAGGGGCATAGCGAACAGGTGAGGCATAGTGAGCATCCCGCACTTTGGCTCTGGATCTCCATCTGCATGAAACAAATCAACTGTTAGTAGGTTCAATATCATTATGATATTGATCCTACAGCCAACCAATTTGTTCCGAATGGCCGGAAGTCCAAGCTGGTGCACGGGATGCTCACTATGCCCCTCTAACCACTGTTGCTGTGAGAACAGTCAAAATCCTATGAATTTACACGCTGCATTAGTGTTCGTGGGATTCTGCTCGGAAAACTCAATAGGATGAGTGTAAGGCCTTTATTCTGTCACTTTTGCTCCAGTGATTGACTCTAGGGCTATAAGTCAACTTTAAACATACTTCTAGGTTTCCTTGTAGAGTCCATTTTTCCATCACACATCGCACAGAGCACAGAACTCAAGATCTACGAGGTTTATATCTCTGCAAATTTTAGACATTGCTTGCTTCTCCGCAGCAAACAACAAGTAGTAGTTTCAGGTACGTCCTTTCACGGAAGCCTTATTATTTTTACATGTGAAATTGCGAAATTTAACACAAAAAAGGACGCTACAGGGAATCACCTTAAGGATATAAGATTGTTAAACACAGTGATGTTAAATATCATGACACTCACGTGACACTCGTCTACTCATCAACCAACTATCCCTGATAGAACGTTTTGTCACGCAGTGAGAGGTAGAGCCATGGCAAACAACAATCACCAGTAATGGTCGCTGCTCACACGAAAACAGTGAAGACTTCTGCAGTACGATGATGAGAAAAAGCGAAACGACAGAAGAAAATGAAAACAATGCCTACGCATTCCAAGTTCGTCCCAGCAGGCGCGACTGTGTGAGTTACAAACAAAGCAGGCAACATTAAACGGAAGCTGTTGGGCTCACTCACATACACAATCAAAGCAGCAACTGCTTCAAAACGAGCACAGATGAGTGTCGTGATTGTCGGGAATGACCAGATCGGTGATGGATCACAACCGAAGCCTATATTCACCAGTTGCTTTTTACTTCTTTCGTCAACTTGATGGATGGTCATGTAGAGAGCTTCGACGAGCACATTGATAGGAATGTACAAAGCGTTACTACCATCAGCTGTTTGACGATCGTTATTGTGATAGGTCGCAACTCTGGTTAAACATATCAATTCTACAGATTCGCCAAGTTTTGTTGGATCCGTTTAATTCATATTGAAAATTGAGTCAGTCATGAATTAGAATGTTCCAACTAGTTTTCTAAACTTGTTAAATATTGAATTTATAATTTTAAAATTTTAAAGATATTTGTGAACAAATTTTAGCAGCGACGTAAACACATAAGTAAATAGTGCACAAAGGCTTGCACTAAAGACAAGTCAAATGAAAACTCCACAAACAATCAAAAAGACGGAAAAACCTTCAAGAACTTGAAACGAAAGAGTAAAACAAAGATTTCGAAAAAACAACAAAAACGACAACGACAAAAAAACACTAGCAACAGCAAACAAAAGATAAGAGAAAGAAGCAACCGCTCCCTGACACCCGGAAACGGCCGCCCGCTGACGAGCGCAAAGTGGTATTTACATGCTTCGACTTGTAACGGATATGGTTCAGATGCGGGTGTGATGAGTGTGTCGGTGGTGGTGGGTGATCGTTTCCCGGACTGGAGGGTGTCAGCAAGCTGGACATCTCCTCCGGATACATTGGCATCTTAAGGGGCTAGACGGAGAGAGAAAGAGAGAGGGAGATAGAAAAAGAGACGAAGAAGATAATGAAATGAACGTTCCTTTTTATTTGGGTGGATCTGATCAAACATTTTGGTTTAGATGGAGGCGCGTGGTTGATTTTGCAAATAATATGGTACAAAAAAAAAAAAAAAGATGGGGTTCGACATGGCCTGAGATGTGGAGGGAAAAAAGTTTCGCTATGGAACGGTCCAGCCTTGACGGCCATTAATTAGCTCTTGTTCACTTTATTTTAATTTTCCACCATTTAAATTTATTACGATCAACTTGTTTTCCATATAAATCAATGTGGGCACCATCAATCTTTCTCGTAACGATATGGTCTGGGAAAAGGAGGGTTCGGGGGCTGTTCGTTCCAGCCTGCCAGTAAAGTTACAATTTCCCGTTCCCGTACGGGAAGCGGGTCTGGGTGGTCGTTAAATTTACAAAACCACTTTGCTACCTGAATACGGTACGGTAGGTGGGTGAGTGGTCGGTTCGCTGTCGTCCTTGAGCATATCGTAACTTGTCGTAAATTTACGATGTACACGGCGGCGTCACCAGCTGTCGTATCCATCTTAATTTAACGCTGATGGAAGCTGCAATGGCATCGTGTAGTGTAGTGAAGCCGTTGTTGCCTTCGAGTCATAAAACTATGTAAGCAATTAAGGACTGATGTGCTCCGGCTGTGTCCACGTGGCTGGACAGATAGACGGCCATACGGTTCGCACGAGACGGTCATCAACGTCAAACGGGAAAGCACGTGGAATTTTCGAACTAGTCTCCGCGGGGACAGCCAGAAACATTGTAAAGGCATCGTAGAAGCATAGATGGTTATTTTTGAGTGGGGATGCAATTGGCTACCTGTTGCATTGGATTCTGAATTTTTAACGTCAATAGAAAAGCGTACGTGATTCCCAACCCTGTATTTTGTCAGTTGTCAAGCTGGAGGGGATTCTCAATCTAAATCTCAGTCTAAAATTGCATCCCCATCCCCGTCGAAAACCCATGTTGAGTGCATTCGGAGTTGGTTGATTAAATCCTGAAACATTAAGGAAAAAGCGAATCCCGGAATAATCAGTACTTATTTAGTCATTACATGTACATGCCTGATGCAGATCGACCAAATTTTATAAACCAACGAAATGTTTGAATTTGCGGTTTTATAATAAATCGATAACCAATTTTGTAGGGTTTGAATAATTACAGCAGCTACGCGATCATTAGAGATGTTTATGGAGCTCGGTGGCTTAGGAGCGACAATTTTTGCTCATTGAGCAGAAGATGTTTCCCATCGCAACCCTATCGCAAGAAGTGTTAGTGTCGTGATGCTATCTCACTCACTACTCACGTTAGTGATTACACTAACATAAATTCCCTTCCCATGATAGATGTAGACATTCAGAGGTCTTCTTGGTCTCAATATTCACCAGTTGCTTTTTACTTCTTTCGTCAACTTGATGGATGGTCATGTAGAGAGCTTCGACGAGCACATTGATAGGAATGTACAAAGCGTTACTACCATCAGCTGTTTGACGATCGTGATTGTGATAGGTCGCAACTCTGGTTAAACATATCAATTCTACAGATTCGCCAAGTTTTGTTGGATCCGTTGGAACATAAATTCCCTTCCCATGATAGATGTAGACATTCAGAGGTCTTCTTGGTCTCTAGTAACGACGTCTCATCAATAATCCTTACCTTCCCCAATGACCGTAAAGACGGCATCGTCGTTATCTTGATAATACTGATTCAGTATGTACAGTATTTGTTCTTAGCTGGTACTAAACTGAGACGGACTAACCTTACAACAGTGAGTTATTCTGTATTCTTCGTGAAAGAAGTAATTTAGTTCAAGTTAATGTTGTGTCTGAGTTAAGGAAACATTTTCAAAAGAAAAAAACCTTAGAAATTGTAATAGTTGTTGGAGTGTTTTTGAGGAAATTTTGAGTGTTTTTAATAAAAAAGGGACCTCATCTAGTATCACACGTCTACGAAACCAGACTTTACAGCAAAGGATTATCCGATATTCTGCATCCAAGGTGGAATTTTGGGAGAAGTCGTTGGAACCATTCGTCGATAAATTCAATTCCATATTGTTCGTGAAGGTGATCAGTAGGGTGTAGGAAGTTCAGGTCAATCATCATTTTTAGCAACCGGTTTTGTTTCCTTTTTTTTGTTTCGATGAGACTGGGCACATGTATGCCACTCTCGGAATCCATAGACCTGTATTGGTCGAAAGACGATTTTGTACAGTAGTAGTTTTTTGCGGATATCAAGGCGAGAACGACGATTAACAAATGGATATAGTGATCTTATCAGTTTATCGCACTTCTTCAAACTGTTTGAGATGTGTTTAGATAAGTTCTGTTTCCGGTCAAGAGTTAAGCCGAGATATGTGACAAGCAGACCAGGGTATCGCCTTCCCGTTGGTAATTATTTCGAGCTGAGGAAGATTGCGACGGCTGCGGTTATTTGTGAAGAATATAGTTTGTGATGCTACGAATCCCGTGTCGTCAGCGATCATCACCACGTCAGTCGAGGATATGTTGTATAGTGAAAGACTGAGTACTGCACCTTGAGGTACACCAAATGGAACCAATTCATGGCCGTTAACTGACACGTGGAAAGAGCGGTTTTTTTAGAAAGCAACGAACAATCTTCACAATAGCAATTGGAAAGTTGCCCTGCATCATTTTATACAGAGTTGCTTCTTGCCAAACAGAATCGTACGCTTTTTCAACGTCAAGTAAAATCATTCCAGATGATTTTTCTTGAGAGAAATTCGAGCGAACTTGTTTCACTAACCGAGCTAGTTGCTGGCTAGCAGTATCCTCTTTTGAAGCCAAATTGTTCATCCGGGATGATCCTGGGTGTCCAAATGCACTTTAATGCATTCCAGTATGATTCGTTCGAAAAGCTTACCACTGGCGTGCACAGGGTTGGGCAAGGTGGGTGCAATTGCCCCTCCTTTTATAAATAAGATTTTTATTTTCACATTTACAAAATTATGATATAAAATAACTTGATTTCTTGATAACTTGAATTGAAGGTAATATAACTTCATTTAATATAATAAGGCCACTGAAATCTTTTTATTGCGTCAATTTCTTTGAGATGGTGCCTGAAAATTGCACCAAAAGGTGCATAAAATGACAAACTTCAATTAAATTTTTGGGTCAAAAAATTGCACCCCTGCATACAAAAAAAATTCTGGTGTAATTTTTTTTCAGGGTGGTTCATGGAGGGTTAAAAAAGAGGGTAAATTTAAGGTTGAAAAAATTCACCTTCGTGGTGGTAAATCGACGTAAAAGCATTTTATTGAATATTTCCGGTGTTAAAATATCATCGAAGTGGGGCATCGAGGGACTTATCAAAATGAATAACTCTGGTGTAAAAATTGCATCACGCTAAATATTTGGAGAAGCACATTTTACTGAAAATTTCTGGTGGAAAGTTCGCATCACTGTGGTGAATGTATTTGCACTGACAATTTTTGGTGCACCGCTCTGGTGAATGAAGAAGCATGCTTTATTGAAAATTTTAGGTGCAAAATTTGCATTGCTCTGAAAAATGAAATGAACGGAATATTTCTGGTGGAAACTTGCACTGGTCTGATAAATGATGGCACAAGCTTTATTTAAAATTAAGCTATATTGAAAATTTTTGGTGGAAAATCTGCACCGTTGTGGTGAACGGATGGGCAAGCTTTTTGGAAAATTATTGTTCTTAAATTTGCATCCTTAATAATAATTTCTGGTGTAAAATTTGCACCACTCTGATGATTGGAGAGAAGCTGTTTTACTGACAATTTATGATGAAAAGTCTGAAAATAGGGGCAAGCTTTTTTGGTGGAAAACCTGCAACATTCTAATGATAGGAGAAGCAAGCTATAAGGAAATCTGCACAGAAGATTGGAGAAGCAATTTTTATTGAACATTAACTGTGAAAAAATTGCATCGTTCTGATCAGAGTTCGACATTTTCGCCTACTTGTGGAGAAATTTTTTTCACCTGCTAGGAGGAATGGATGAGAATGTGAGAAGCGAGAGAATATTATACGCTTACAGCAGTTTTCGCGAGAAAAGCAACAGCGATTTATTTTTTCGGAGAGCATGAGAACCAAAACAACAGTTAGGGCACATCCATAAATTACGTAGAATCTGAGGAGTAATAGAGAGGCGGTTTCAACATTTGTTACGGACCATGCATAAGGTATAGAAAAAAACGCCACGAAGGGGGAGGAGAAGGTCTAAAATTGGTAAGAAAATTGAATCGCCATTTATGGATGACCCTGATGATTTGACAGAAGATATAAAAAGCAAATAATAAAAAAAATCTGTCGGACTGAGAATTTCTGTCTCTGGTTCTGATCTATTGAAATTTTCTGGTGTAAAATTTTATGGAGGCAAGTTTGTGTTGAAAATTTCTGGTGTAAGATTTGCAACAATCTGCTGCATGGGAGACAAGCTGAACTAAAAATTCCTGATGTAAAAATTGCACAGTGCTGGTGAATGGAGGGGCAAGCTTTATTGAACATTTCTGGGAGAAAAACTACAACATTTTGGCGAATGGACGGACAACTTAAACTTGACTTCCGAGAAGAACCTCAAGGGTATTGAATTCTGACGACAGTTCTAAATGAAAAGATTTCTGGGGATGATTCCATGCAAATCTGCGAATAATTTCTAGTGAATCCTGTAGATAATTCCAAGATAAGAATACCGAGAGAATCAAATTTTTAAATGAAATTCCAAAGGGATGTTGAGAAAAATTTCGAGGGAGTTCCGAGGATAACTTCAAGCGCATTTTGAGAAGAATTTCTGGAGAATACAGAGGAAATTTTTCTGAAACTTTAGGGCAATTTCAACCCCAAGGTGTTCTGAAAAAAAGTTCAAAAATATTCCGAGAAGAACCTTAAGGATATTGAATTCTTATGACAGCTCCAAAATAATTCTGGGGAGAATTTAAATAAAATTCTGCGGATAATTTTTAG